TAAATATCACATATACTCTAGGGGGTACAAATACATAAATCACTAATTGGCATCGTTATAAATGAAACCCCGTCATTAAAACTACTCATTTCGATCTTTAATCAACTTAAATCGACCTTTTTGAAAACAGTGCTCAATTCTCACCTGCGAACGAAATTTCATCCAATCAGAGGGGCGCGTCTCCGTGACGTAATGTGAGGAATAGATATGAGGGCCGATGTAGAACAGGTATAATTAGTGATAACACCACTTAGATTACCCGACAAAGGTTCCCATTTTGCTTTTCTTGTGTCTGGAGTAAATACTCAACATTATAATCATCGATCAAAGGATTAACCGATAACACTCTGATTGATTAATTACTTTTATCTTGCATAGCGGATTTGTCAAAAGGTAGTGTTTATGTATGTAGATTTACTAATCTATACTGAATACACTCTGTCGTAAAGTGTCTGTGTAAAAACAACGTCCTTCTTTCAAAGGATTAACCGCCAATACATTGATTGATTGCTCATTATTGGCTAACTTTATTACTTTTTTTTAAAGAATGGCGGACATCATGCAATTAGTTGCCAGGTGTGCTATCTTGGGTGACCAATGAGACTATACACCAATATGAAAAACCTGAAACAATATATCACTTTTTCGCATATTAGACTGTTAAAAGACACATCACTTGGAACAGCTGCAGATGAATGGCATATCACTCGTTTTTGTGGACATTGATGGATACATTCCTCGAACAAGGTAATAGCCTGACATTGTTCCTATAACTTTAATCTGTTTTAATTTGAATATTTGCATTTTGTTTTTATTCATTTGTCGTAGCATTCAACAGAATCATTGTTTTCGCTGTGAAGTGTAATGAGACAGACAACATACACTAGGGCGTGTGTGCGAATTATGATTCACATTGGCAAACTATAAAATGTCTAGATATTACAGTCCTGTTATACACTAGCCACATAAAGAAACTGTGCATTGTCAAAATATTATCCCAGTTGATAAGTACGATAACAATGTCAAAGGTACATATAAACTTGAATGGAGGGATCATGAGACCATAACAAGTCGTGAGAATTTCAATTGAAAAGTCAATCACAATGACGTCACGAGTCCACAAGCGGGACAGGGGTCAAACGACCATGTCACAAGCTCAATAACGGGTATGTCCACCATCGGCATTGAGAACAGCAGTGCATCGACGACGCATAGAGCCTATCAAACGTGCAAGGAAGGCTTGTGGGATGTCACGCCAGATTCTCTCAAGTTCTGTTGCAAGGTCAAGGACGTTATCTGGCGGATGAGGAAGACGGCGTAGACGTCGATCCATCTCGTCCCAAACATGCTCTATCGGGGAGGATCCGGTGAATTTGCAGGCCAAGGCAGTAAGTCAACGTTGTGGTGTTGCAAGAAATCCATAGCAATCCTTGCCGTATGAGGGCGGGCATTGTCCTGTTGGAATGTTAACCCAGGGCCATGACGTTGCAGAAAAGGAATTGCCACAGGTCGAAGAATCTGATCCCTGTAGCCCACACCAGTTAAGTTGCCCTGAACAATCACCAAAGGAGTTCTTTGGCGTGCTGTTATTCCACCCCAAATCATCACGGAACCACCACCAAAGCGATTCCTCTCCAAGACACAGGCCTGTGCATAACGTTCTCCCACGCGTCTATAGGCACATTGACGTCCATCACTATGGGAAATGTTAAACCTGGACTCATCTGTAAAAACAACATTTCTCCACCAAAACAAGGGTCTGCGGACATGATTTCGGCACCACATTCGGCGAGCTTGTCGATGACGTTGTGTCAGGATAGGCCGTATGGCGGGACGTCGTGGTCTGATCCCGTGATGACGTAAACGTTGTCGAACTGTGTTGGGGTGGAATCGGCGAAGTCCTGGGATGGTTCGGGCAGTCATCACTGCAGTCTGAAACCTGTGGCGAAGATGGGTCACCCTTGTCCTGTCTTGGCGTTGTTACACGTGGACGTCCAGAACGTGGCCGATCGATGACGTCATTTGTGTTCTGGTAGCGTTTCACCAGTGCAGAAATGGTGTTCCGGTGGCAGTGGAAATGTGCAGCCACTTGTCGTTGAGACATTCCCCCACGGACCATCCCAATGGCCTCATGACGTTGTGCAGACGTGAGCCTTGGCATGCTATGCGTTTCAATAGCCGTTTAATTTTTTGAACGATCGCAAGGGCAGGGGTTGAGCTTTCCAAAGTGACAGTATTGTGTGGCATTCATTTGCTCTGTTTCTCTTTCCCCGGAATGCACGTGCAACAACGTATTGCACGTCTCAAGGACGAACCCACTGCCGTCACGGAACGTGGCACGTGCATGCATGTTGGATACATGTCACTATTTTCTGAATTTAAATCCTTATGTGTCTACACAGGTTTGATAAATTTAGATTGTAAATATTTGTATGCACAGTTTCTTTATGTGCCTAGTATAATATCAGCAAAATGCATACAAGTATGATAATAAACTAATTAGGATTATAAGACCAAATATAAAGACTTACATTGACTAGTATCTACATACTGGTGAGTGGACGTTACCCACGTAAATGTAGCAAGAAATTTAGGTGATCGGAAAAAAAGTAACAGGAAAAAAAGAAACGGAAAAAAGTAACAGATTTTGCTAGGAAAACAAGTAACAGGAAAAAAAGAAACTTTTTCAGTTGTTTGTTTTTTATTTATTAACAAAGTATAACAATACAATTACAAGCACATTTTTTGCATCCATAAGCAATGTTCTCAGTTCTTATTGAGTATAACAAAGTTGTTTATTATATCAAGTAAGCTGAGTAGGTGAGAAGGACAATCAGTTGGTTTTTTGTGTGTTTTATTGTGATAGCAAGTGATACAATATTCATACAGCAGGATAATACACACAACACATATATTCAAGCTGCGGAATAAATGGGCGACGACATGATTAGTGGGTGTATGAATAAAGTACAAAGAAAAAGGTATAGGGATATAGGAGAGTAAGAAAATAGAGGAGAGAAAGGATGGTATGATCAAACATTGGTTTGCGTCCATCTATATTAGTAAAGGGGGCCATTGTTCGGCAAATTTAGTCTTGTCTCCAGAAATGAATTTCTCTATGTTGTGATTATATTTTGTTAGCTGTAATAATTGGGTAAATATGGGAATAGTCTTATTGTTATGACAATTTTTAATATAACGTTTGGTTATTATAAAAAGGTGGTTTTCAAGGATAGTCAACTTTGAATCGCCAAGAAGGAAATTATTCATATTTAAGACTAATTTTAAATTGGTTCTACTTTCATACCAAAGTTTGAACTCATTTATCATAGTTTGAACTTTTCGACAGGAAAAACATAAATGTTCTAGTGTTTCACTTTCTGATTGGCAAAATGTACAAAGGTTATCCTCTATCGGTCCTATTGTGTAAAGAAATGATTTTAATGGTATGATACGATGGATGAGTTTATATTGGAAATTCCGTATCTTGTTATCCTCAACACAATTTCGAATTTTATTAAAACATTGGGACAGGTAATTTGCTTATATATGTGCATCCAACTTTGAGTTCCATTTAGAAGTAAGATCTTGAAGAGAAAAAAATACCATCATCATTACGAATCAGTTTATAGATAAATTTACAATCTAGTGATGAGATAATGTCCCTGAGAATCTTACAATTAATATTTAAATTTGTTCTATTAACCGGGTTATCTTTTGATAATTTAATCCATGTGTTGGGTATGAAACTTATCAGTCTGAAATAAGAAATGAAATTATCATTTAATCTGAAGTCGTATTTCAATACATTGAATTCTTTTAAGTGTCCTGAATCAGTCATTAGGCCCCGAATATGTCTAATTCCACACTGATACCATTTGATGTATAGTTTAAAATCTTTATAAGGAACAAAACTCATGAAAAGGAGATTTCTGAATTCGTCAATATTCCTAATCTCAGAAGTTTACAACTCAAATATAAATAGTTAAAATATCTTTCCAAAAATCGTTCTTAATGTCTTTAATTAGCTTTTTTAATTGTGCTTTGGGAAATTCAGGATATCGATATTTTATAAGTTTACC